CCTCCTTCCTTCCTTCCTTCCTTCCTTCCTTCCTTCCTTCCTTCCTTCCTTCCTTCCTTCCTTCCCTTCTTCCCTTCTCTTTCTTTCCCTCTTTTGTTCTCTCTTTTTATCCCCCCTTTCCTTCCTTCTTTCCTTCTCTTTCTTTCCCTCTTTCCTTCCTTCTTTCCTTCTCTCTACTTTCTCTCTCTTTCCTTCCCTCTTTCCTCCTTCTGTGGCCCAACTCTACTGAGAAGGGGTTTAAAGTTTAAACCCCTTCTCTTTTCGCTTCCGCCCCCCGCACAGGCCGGCTGGGGAAGGGAAGGGGAGGCTTTTGAAGATGCTTCCCCCCTTTTGCTTCCCCTTCTGACATCACTTCCGGTGATGTCAGGGGGTGTGACATATGCGAATGAGCTATTATGCTAATAGCCTAGTAGCTCATTAGCATACCCTATGCTAATGAGCTCCTGCAGCTCTTTTTCGACGAAATGACCCCTGCTCAGGAGTAAAGAGAGAATGTTCCCCCCCCCCAATTTTCTGGTGTCCACAAACACCAGGGGAATGTCTTTAAAAGCCAAATGAATGCACACTTCTGCAAACCTAAGATCTGGGCAAAGTGTGCATTGTGTTGCAGCACAGAGTCAACAATTTATTTGAAATAAACACCTTTGTAAGTGGAAAAGTTGGGGACTTAAATTGTTTTGGAACTTCCCCCCCCCCCCACACACACCCACAAACACCCCACACACACACATACCCCCTAAATAACCCACCCACTTTCAGAACACTTTCCAACTGGATTTCACTGTGTGAACTGGCAAAATCCAGTTGGAAACTGCATTGAAAGTGGATTATTTAGGGTGTGTGACCACAGATGTTTGGTTTGGTTTGGTTCCCCCTCGGTGATCTCTCTTTGAGCCCAATGTTTTTAATGTTTTTCTCTAATTTTTAAATGTATTTTAGCTGTTTCAGTGATATGGGAGTGGGTTTTTTGCTTGGTTTTAACGGTTTTTAAAATGTGATTTTATTATGTACATTTTAATTTGTTAGCCGCCTTGGTGGCCCTGATGAGGGCAGAAAGGGGGGGCGGTGTAAATTTTGTAAAATACTTAATAAAAGGCTAGTCTTTGTTGTTGTTTTATTATGTAAAAGAGTGCGATTTTGGGCAGGGGGGAATGGGAAAGACTTCAAAGCGTGTGAAACCTCAGACCTAGGGCTTCCAACCTCCAGGGGGTACCTGGAGTTCTCCTAGAATTACAACTCATCTCCAGACTTATAGACGTTGGTTCCCCTGGAGAAAATGGCAGCTTCAGAGTACAGTTCTGAGGTAAAATAGATCTGAGGTAAAATTCCTCCCCAAATTCTGCTCCACAAACTCCACCCCCAAGTCTCCAGGAATTTCCCAAGCCAGAGTTGGCAACCCAGTGATCAGGACTCTTTATGAAAAGGGTTTTGTGATCATCATTAATAAGATTTGGGGATCACCCCTACTTAAAGAAAGCCAGTGCAGTGTGGTGGTCAAAATGTTGGACTAGGATCGGGGAGACCCAGGTTCGAATCCCCACTTGTGCCACGGAAGCTCGCTGGGTGACCTGGGGCCAGTCATGCACTCTCAGCCTAACCTACCTCACAGGATTGTTGTGAGGATAACACGGAGGAGAGAGATGGTCAGCCTCTTTGAGTCCCAGGTTTGGTGTAGTGGTTAAGTGCGCGGACTCTAATCTGTGAGAACCGGGTTGGATTCCCCACTCCTCCACTCGCAGCTGCTGGATGACCTTGGGCAAGCCATAGTTCTGTCAGAGCTGTCCTTGAAAAAGAGCAGTTTCTGTCAGAGCTCCCTCAGCCCCACCTACCTCCCAGGGTGCCTGTTGTGGGGAGGGGGAAGGGAAAGGAGTTTGTAAGCTGCTCTGAGACTCCCTTGGGTAGTGAAGGGCAACGTATAAATCCAATCTCCTCCTCTTCTTCTCCTCCTCCTCCTCCTCCTCTTCCCCCTCCTCATTGGAGAAAAGGGCAGGATATAAATAAAGTAAATAAATAAAATATCATGAGCAAGGAAAATCAGTGTAAGTCAAGACAGCAGCCACCCAAGGGTGCCTGTTGAATCTTTAAGGCTGCATGTGAACATCAGGTTTTCAGATCTACGCTGGCTCTGATAGTCTCCAAACCCCTCCTCCCGATTTCTTTCTTCCTAAGTTTGCAAATCCCGGACACCTACGCCTAGGAAGACAAGCAGGTTGTTTCTTGACATCTCTCCGATCTCTGCCTTTGGGGACCTGTTGGCTTTTGGCTTTAAGAACAGGCGGCTTTCTAATGCAAGGGATTTTCTTTGCTTGCCCAGTTATGGTGGGAAAAGAGAAATATGGTACTTATGAAGTGATTATAGTGAAGCAAAGGCAACGGCTGAGTTTTAGTCATTCATTCATTCATTCATTCATTCATTCAGTTTGTACCCCGCCCTCCCTGCTAGCAGGCTCAGTTTTTACAGCTGAATTATCATGGTGTGTGTCTGGTCGGCCTAACGGAGAGTGAGTTCTCTCAGTCCGACATGGGCGGGGCTTAGGCCGTGGTGGTTAAAGTGTCGTGCTGCAGTCTGGGAAATCTAGGTTCAATTCGCCACTATTGCTGTGGAAGCTCTCTGGGTGACCTCGGGCCAGTCACACACTCTCAGCCTAACCTGCCTCACAGGGTTGTTGTAAGAATCAAACAGAGAAGAGGAGAATGATGTCAACCGCTTTGGGCCCCTGTAGGGGTGAACGGTGGGATGTATATAAAGTAAGTAAGGCTGCAACCACACACACTTTCAATGCACTTTCCAACTGGATGTTTACTGTGTAAACTAGCAAAATCCAATTCAGAAGTGCATTGAAAGTGGATTATTTAGTGTGTGTGATCGCAGCCTAAGTAAGTAAGTGAATGTTACTCTTGCTAATGCCAGTGTTGACCGGTTCTGTGTCTGTGTCACATGAATGTAGGGAGCTGCCTTACACTGACTCAGACCATTGGTCTATCGAGATCAGTATTGTCTACTCTGACTGGCAGCAGCTCTCTGGGGTCTCAGTAGGGTTGCCATTCCCCGGTTGGGGGTGGGGGAATCCCCCGGTTTTGCGAGTTCTTGCCCCCCGCCGTCCAGCTGGCCAGCGGGAGGAAATTTCCCCCTCAAATAGTGACAGTAGTTTTAAAACAGATAAAAGGAAGTACTTTTTCACCCAAAGAGTCATTAAAATTTTGAATTCACTGCCACAGGAAGTGGCGGCGGCTACTAGCATGGACGGCTTCAAAAGGGAATTAGATAAGCATATGGAGCAGAGGTCCATCAGTGGCTATTAGCCACAAGGTATAGATAGGGACTCTGGGGCAAGTGATGCTCTGTCTTCTTGGTGCTTGGGGAGGTCAACAGTGGGAGGGCTTCTAATGTCCTGGCCCCACTGGTGGACCTCCTGATGGCACCTGGTATTTCTGGCCACTGTGTGATACAGAGTGTTGGACTGGATGGACCTTTGGTCTGATCCAACATTGGCATCTCTTATGTTCTTATGTTCTTATGACATCATCGGGAAAAAATGTGATGTGCCTACGTCACCCAGAAGTGAGGTGGGCACATCGGTGATGTCGGGGAGTGACGCCCTGGTTTTTTGGACAAAACTCTATGGATTGAGGCTGAATTTACCATAGAGTTTTGTCCAAAAAACTAGAGCGCCACCCTCAATGTCACCAATGTGCCTAGCAGACTCACTTACAGATCCGGCCCTCCTAACAAATGAGTTCGACACTCCTGCATTAACCACTACACCGTGTAGGCTCTTTTTCTTCCCCTGCAACAAAAGAGATTGTTTCAGATAAACAAACATCAAGAAATGAAAAGCGGATTGTCCAAGGAAGGGGAGGGAGGGGAAAAAGACAAGAAATGGAAGGTGAGGGATGGGGGGGGGATACATCTGGAATCTGCAAAGGTGTGAGGAAAGGCACTGCCATCTGGACAGACCAGAGCCGGGGCTGTTGAGAGTCAAATCCATTAAGAAGATCCTTGGTGGTTTTAATGAGAGCCGGATGAGCCGGATCTCACCTTTGTTGGAAGAAAGCATGCACCTGGGTCATTAGGCTTGTCACCTGCAAGCATCATTAGGGACCACCTTTGTGTGAGAAAAGCCTTGTTTTTAAAAGAGCCTTTTATATATTTTTTTTAAAAAGGGAGGGAGATGGAAAGGCATTAAAAAGAACGAACTCAAAATCTCTCAACAATCCAATCCATAAAGAAAAGTTAGATGCTTAAAGCGATTGATTCGTTGGGGGGGGGAGTGATGCATACCATCACCGTCTTGTTCAAAATGGTTACTATTCGGTAATTATTTTTCGTTTCCATGAGCAAACAGTTGTCCTGACATTAACCACTTAAGGAGGGGGGGGGGAAACAAAGAGGGAAATGAATGTTTCTTAAGCAAAGAAAAATCCCTCAAAGGTTGAACATCAAAACCAATAAAGGAATAAACATTTAAAGGTAATCCATACTGTTGTTACTAGAAACGCAGCGAATGTTAACCGTTCTCATTTAAAATATGTGTCTCTGTATACATTTCTGTATATATAATTTCTCTCCTGAACATTAATCTTTTTTTCACTCCAGCCTGTAATCTTAGTTTATCCTTGATGGAATGGCTTTGTTCTCCATGTTTTTGAAGCTCTTTTTCTTCTTCTCCTTTCCCCCTTCTTTTAAAGGTTTTGACAGAGGAGCAAACAGCGATAAACTCCCAAGTACAAAGGATTGCGATGTCTTCTTTCTCTTTGTGGTTGTGCGCGTGCTGGGGTTTTCTAGATGTGTGTGTTTTAAAGAGGTGTTTCATCTGGTCTCACTTCTCTTTCAGGAAGTCGATGGCAATAAAGTGATGTCTTCATTCGCCCCGCACAACTCATCTACCTCACCCTCGAAGGCAGAAGAAGGTGGGCGTCAGAGCGGAGAACCTTTATCCAGCACGGCCCTGGGGACCCCCGAAAGGCGCAAAGGCAGCCTAGCGGACGTCGTGGACACTCTCAAGCAGAGGAAGATGGAGGAGCTGATCAAGAATGAACCAGAAGGTAAGGCCGTAGGAAGCGGTTGTGGTTTTCCCTTCATCTGACATCTTGGCATGGTTCTCCAAGGACGAAATCCTTACTGACTCGTCTTCGACCTGGGTGAGCACCTTGGAATCCTCACCTCAGTCCTTTTTCTTCATTTTTTAAAAAATATTTTTTATTAAATTTTCACGTAAGAACAAACATTCCAGCTTTTAGCAACAAAATCAATCTGAATCATGAAGAATACATAATGACTTGCGTTAGAACAATCACTACATATTTATTTATTTATTTATTTATTACTTTGACTTATAGCCCGTCCAGGGCGGCTCACAAATAGGGCAAATGCCAAAACAGGTTAAAAGCAACATAAAAACAGTCACTTACAATATTACACAGTGCTCTAGATGTTTCAAATCACTCTTCAATAAAAAGATGGCATCTTAAAGATGGTACTCCCAGTTCAGTGGTATCACTCCTCACAGGGCCAGTTGGTAATGGTGGTAAAGGTAGTGGTGGCTCCTACTCAAAAACCTGGTGGAAGAACTCCGTCTTGCAGGCCCTGTGGAAATGCACAAGGTCCTGCAGGACCCAGATCTCCTCCGGGAGCTCATTTCCACCAGGTAGGAGCCGCCACCGAAAAGCTCTGGCCCTGGTTGCAGCAAACCTGGCCTCCTTGGGGCCTGGGATTACCAGGAGATGTTGCGTCCCCGACCGTAGTGCCCGTTGGGGAACATATGGGGAAAGGTGGTCCCTTAGGTATGTTGGACCCCGGCCATATAGGGCTTTAAAGGTAAGAACCAGCATTAGCCTTAGCGGCTCAAAATTCAAAAGGTTACATACAATAATAGTAGTATAGATCGGTGTTATTCCATAGAGATCTTCCAGACTGTTCATAAAACTATATATATTGTTACATATAATTAACTTTTTCATAAAAACATTGTGGAATTTGGGATCTTGATTTCGAATTAGGTAGAAATTATGCCTCTAGAAATGGGAGCCATTTATTCATTATGTCAATATGGCTTCCTGTGTTTTTAGACATGCCTGTACTATCTGCAGTCTTTTCCATCACATCTAGTTCCCAGACCTCGGCATACCACAAGTTCAAATGAAGTGAGTTAAGATCTTTCCATTTAATGGCAATGACCATCTTGGCAGCTACTAATAAGGTTTCGTCTGGTCCCTTTTCTTCATTGATGGCTTCCTAGGTTTCCTTCTAAATACAGAAAGAAATGGCAGATTCTACACCCATTACACATCTGCATTCAACACAGAATCTTCCTGTCTTTCCCCACCATACCAGCATTACGAATGTGTGTCTGTGGATTTAACTGACTTCATATCAGCTTGAGACAGAGAGAGAGGGAGGGAGGGGGAGAGAGGGGGGGTTATTTTAATAGTTTAAGAAAGCTGTAGCCAAGTCATATTTCTGATTACAGTGTTAGGTTCTTTTGGGTTTTAGTTTTCATTTAATTCTTTTGGAGTTTTTAATTTTGTGTGTTGGTTGGATGCCTTTGGGCAAAGAGAGGCTTCATGTGTGTCATAAATAGGTGACCATGTACAGCAGTCGCTGTTTTGCCTTCTGAAGGGGTGGCCATCACTGCACCTTACCGCTGCTGCTGCCACCACCCCACTACTGCCACCACCCCCTTGACTTCTTTCCTTCCTCACCTGTCTGTAAAAGCAGAGTGACAAACTGCACAGGCCCTGTTGGACTGCCAGAAATCTCACCAGAGTACGTCCTCCCATGAGAGTCTGGCCACCATTTTAGTTGCCCTGGTGACAGAAAATCAGAAATGGTAGCTGGGCTGTCATGAGAAGAAGGAATCATTCAAAAGTTTGTGTGTTGACTTTTAAAGAGACTCTGGTGGAGCGAGGATTTAAACAAGGATTATTTCCTTTGGTGGACAGACGGAGCCCACAATCTGTCACCTGAGGCAGCTGCCTCAGCTTGCCTCATTATGGATGTATACCTTTAATATATCACAGCATATGCATAAGAACATAAGAGAAGCCATGTTGGACCAGGCAAACATACACACATCACATCCTCTTTTAAAACTACCTGCACCAGTGGAACAAAGTTTGAGTCCTGTGGCACCTTTAAGACCCACAAGGTTTAATTCTAGGAATAAGCTTTTTTTGTGCATGCACACTTCTTCAGATGCCTGCACACAAATGCTTATACCCAGCATTAAACATTGTTGGTCTTAAAGGTGCTACTGGACTCAAACTTTATCCTACTGCTTCAGACCAACATGGATACCCACCTGTACCTGTGGAAACACGGAGACATGGATGCCGAGTATTGGTTGCTTTTAGCATTTTTTCCAACTTACAAGTAAGTTCTAAGAGAGTTCTAGTTCTACACTCTCTACCTTACCTGGATGTTGGCCTCCTTGTATCATCAATGCTGGAGTCATTTGTCCATCAGAGACCTGGTATTTCTGGCCACTGTGTGACACAGCGTGTTGGACGGGATGGGCCATTGGCCTGATCCAACATTGGCCTCTCTTCTGTTCTTATGGTTGTAAGATCCGAGTCCACTACTAAGAGTGACACTGCCACCATAGACTTCTGTGCACTTCGGACCCTCAAGAACTGCTGTCACGTAACAGCAGATAAATCTGAGCCCAGTGAACCAATGGATTCATTTGGTATTAAGGCAGCTTCAAAGGATTACAGGGGGAAATAGCTAGGTTAGCGTCCAGTTGCACCTTAGAGACCAACGAGATTTGGTGGGGTCTCGAAATCTAGCTGCTTTACTGCAGACCAACTTGACTGCCCTGTGAAACTAGCTACATGGGGAAAGTGATAGGGTGTCAGTGGGTTCGATCAAACTAGCAGCTTAGCACCATCAGGCGCTGCCTCTAATTGTACCCGTTTAAAATGTTGTGGGGCAGATCAGACAGCACACCCTGCTGTTGGTTACCCACATGACCATCCCTTAGTCAAGCATCCACAGTACTGCAGTGTTTCAGCCACAGAGCATGCTGCCCAGTTGTTTTTTAAAATGCAGGTGGGCACCTATGTGCTCATGAGCACACATATGTGGTCATGTGCGTGCACATGTGTGCATACGCTCATGTGCACACGCACATGTGCACATATAGGCAAAAACTCCCAAGACCCCACCCCAGCGGTGGAAACGGATCTGCATGTTCAGACCGCCAATCCGTTTTGTGTGCGGTCCCCCGCGTTCAGACATCCGGCCATGCGCAATGAATGCACAAGGAATCAAAAATACCACTTGCAACGTGGTGCCTTTTTAACTCAGCTCCAAGTCGTCCTACAGCGGGGTGAGTACGCCGGAGGAATGCCTGACAGATGTGGCTGTGTGACTGCACCCATTTAATCCAGAGGGGAAAGGTGGCTATGCTGGGCCAAACTGCTCGTGTGATCACACCCCGTGATAGGGTCCATGTGTATTCCTGTAAAATACAAAAGAAAGCAGAGTGGCACATGCCCTAGTAAGTTATGGAAGACAGCTCCGCTTGGTTGGTCAACAGTCATTGAAAGGAACCACTAAGAAAAGACTGTGATTGAGTAGTGTTTCAGCCCGTAATGATAAGAAACTTTTGGATTTTGACACACAGTGTTAAGATTTCTACAAGTGCTATATCATGTGACGTATCACATGAGTTCCTCACCCCCACAGCTTAGAGGGAACATTGGTGATCACACCCCGTGATAGGGTCCATGTGTCTTCCTGTAAAATACAAAAGAAAGCAGAGTTGCACAAGCCCTAGTAAGTTATGGAAGACAGCTCAGCTTGGTTGGTCAGCAGTGACTGAAAGGGACCACTAAGAAAAGACTGTGATCGAGTAGTGTTTCAGCCCGTAATGATAAGAAGCTTTTGGATTTTGACACACAATGTTAAGATTTCTACAGGTGCTATATATACAAAAAAAATACCTTCCAGAAGTCACTTGTGTGACGTATCACATGAGTTCCTCACCTCACGCTTCCCTTCCCCGTGCTCTTGGAGGCCGGCCTCCATTGAGAATTTCCAGAGACGCCATGAAAGTCCTCCGAGTTTCCGTATTGCACAATTGTTTATTGCAAACCCAGTTAAGCAGTTCATATTTTCCAGCGGTAAAAATTCTTCAGATAACTCACCTTCCCTTCCCAGCCCTCTTATGAAGTTTATCTTGCTCTAATGTTTCACTTTTCCTCAGAATACTCGAGTCGCATACCTCTTTCATAGGTTGCCTCTCAGGCTAGCTTAGCCACATCCGAGTCCCGTGGTATTCAGGAATACAGTTGCTTTGTGCTTATCTTCTCTCTTGGATTGCCTTCATGTATATTCTGACAATGTTCTTAGAAGATCCCACAGGTTTCCTCGGAGAAGAGAAAGAGTCCAGTAGCACCTTAAAGACTAACAACATTTGTGGGAGGGTATAAGCAAGTCACTGCTCACTTCCATCCCTGGAAGGGTGTCAGAAGGCAACCCCCCCCGCTCAGGCTCCACTGGACTGTTTTGGATTGCTAGTTATTGGGGGGGGGGGCGGAACGCGCAGATCTGCCCTCACAGAGGAGGGAGAGCTTGTACCTGAAGGCGGTCTGGGGGAGGGGGGGCTCTGCAACTTACATGGCTGCTTCTTGCTCCTCATGGCCCAACTGAGAGCTGCTGGGAGCAGGGGGTGGGGCTTCTTGCATGTGCCTGCCCCCTGGGCTCCTTATTGCTCCTGTGCGCTCCCGCAGGAAATGACCCCTGGATAGGACATCTGGGGCAAGTGAAGCTGTATATTCTTGGTGCTTGGGGGGGGGCAACAGTGGGAGGGCTTCTAGTGTCCTGGCCCCACTGCTGGACCTCCTGATGGCACCTGGTATGTTTGGCCACTGTGTGACAGAGGGTTGGACTGGATGGGCTATTGGCCTGATCCAACATTGGCTTCTCTTATGCTCTCTTGTTCTTAGGTATCTGAAAATCTTGTTGGGTCTCTAGATTGCTACTGGGCTTGAATTTAACCCTTCTGCTGCAGACCAACATGACTACCCAAAAGCATTACTTA